CGTTAATATACTGAATTTGATTTTAAGGAAGGAGTTAATTCACGATTAAAACAATTGTTTTAATTGCTTTTTTTCGTATATTTGATATTTCGAATTGTACATATATGAATATGACAATCTTAAGAAAGAGGTTAGAATTCACGATAAGAACGTTTTTAATTTTTTTCAAGTACTTGATATTTCGAATTGTACATTATACGATAATGTTGGGAGAGATTAGAATTAACAATAAGTTTTTTTAATTGTTTTAATTGTTTTTCGAGTACTTGATATTTCGAATTGTATACACACGAATCTGATAATCTGAAAAAGAAGAGGGTTAGAATTCACGATAAGAACGTTTTTAATTGTTTTAATTGCTTTTATGATATTTTGCTATTTTTTTTTTTTATTTCGTTAATTTAAGTTAATCACGTACGATTAAATTTTTATTCTTCTGATAAATAAGATATTAAATATCGTTTTATTCGATATTTTTTCCATCTTTGATTTTTATATTATTTTCCTCGTTATTTATTATTCGTTAAATGTGCAATTAGAGATTCTTTATATAAATATTTTATGTATTTATATATTATATATTTTCTGTGCGATGTTTAAAAGATATTGTCATTGCATTTCCTTTCAAACTCTTTCAACAATATAAAACGCAATATTAACTCTTAACGCTCTATAGACTCCGCTGCGGAGCCAAATGTTTTTAGCATACGCTATCGTCGACGTTAGCAATTGTTATCTGTAGTTAAAACGTGCTAAGTCTGTACCATTACGATTAAACTATTTTTTGACCTTTTCTATGGTTAGCAACATGGAGAAAAATAAATATTATGATGAGAATTTAGAGCTGAGTGATACTAAAGACGTATTTTAATTTTGAAGAGTTAAAAAGACATTGTGGAAGAAGAATGTTGGTTATGATTCTGACACTTCAACTAGCAGTAGCGAAATTATACTATCAAAGAGACGAGAGAATAAGAATTATTGAAAGTGAAAGCGAAGATTTGTTACAAGACTGGCATGATGTTACGGAATAATTACATATTCCAGGTAGAATGGTGACGGAAAAATGTTTTTTTGGGGAATGGAGATATCAATAATCAATTCATACATTCTCTATAAAACTGTACAGCACAATAAAAATTACTTACACTTATAGTATAGAAAAATTTTAGTCGATCAACTCGTAGGAGATTTTCGTCACGATAGAAGAAGAGCTTGTACATCAATTTCTATGGCAGACATCAAACAAGTAAATACTGTGACACTTGCCTAAGTAAACCCAGAATGCACATGGAAGATTGTTATCAAAGATATCATACCATGGTAAATTACAAAATTTAAAATTTATCTTTTATTTACAATAGGAAAATGTATATTTATAAAATAAATAAAATCAAATGCATTCGCGTAATCTTTTCCGTTCAAAATAAGACTTCCTTTATCTTAGGTGCTCTGCTTCAAAAATGTGCCGGAATTGCTGGTAAACAGTACTCGAGAAACGCTAAGGGTTAATAAAATCAAACAACGAGTTTAATGTTTATATCAGAGAATACAATTATTGAATAAAATTAATTCGTGTTATTTTTTTTACCACTCAACTAAATTAGTTTCATTCTCGTTCGAACTCGTTTCTGATTTTTAAATAAATTAATCTGTGTAATCGAATAATCGAAAATTTATAGAACGAGGAAAAGAAAAAGAAAAAAAAAGTAACTATTTTGCTCTGATCATTTTTCCGTATCATTAACCCGGTTTCTATAAACTCGTTTTGTATCAGTCGGACATAAACGGTGATATCATAAATCGTGAAACCTTATCATCGACAAATTTCAGGTTTCATGGATGGTGTTCACGTGATAAAACACGCGACCACGTATTCAACACGCATCGAAACGTTTCGCGGCAATAACGGGTATATTAACATTATTTAACATATATATATATATACATCCGTTAAGATCGAGACGGGGGATACATCATTTTAATTATCTTTATCGAGAATTTACGTCAAATGAGAAATTCATCGCTTCACTTCGGCCCACGTGATAAATACATATTACATGTAATATGCACACACTGTACAGTTTTATCTATCGTATACGCATACACACGTATACGTCACTTCTTTTCTTCCATCAAATTATGCGTATTTATTCTCGGTGCAACCGAATAATTCCTTTTTCAATTTAAGAGCATTATACTCAGATTTATACCACAAATTTAACGATTGTATCGTGAGCCACTAGTCGAATAATTGTTGAGATATGAACAGTTGAATCTGTGTATAACATTAAGTATACAATAAGCTATCAACAAGACTGAGACACTTAAATTCGCGCTTAGAGTTTCACTTTTTCATATTTCGAGAGAGAAATGTAACGTTTGGTCGACGCTTGAACGTAATATAAATTCGATACATATGTGTGTGTATATATATATATATATATACATGTATACATATATATATCGCCCGTGTATCATTTAATCACAAGTTCAGTGACAAATTTCGTATTTCGATTCGAGGCGAAGAGGTAAGATTCGTTTGTCTTTTCCATACGATGCGATATTTACCCGTCACACAAGTTATTTGTATCGCTGTATATCTTTTCGATCGAATTCACGTTTTTTCTCGTTTTTGGAGAATTATTCTTTATAAATTTACTTGGCAAATACTTTTTTATTCACCGTAACTGAAAACAGAGAAAGAAGGAAGAGAATACTTCTTTGTTACATACATATGAATAAAATAATCATACACAAATATATATAATTTTAAACCTCTTGATATATATATATATGTTACTTATGTTTATATTACGTTCCTTGTGTTAACAATTTAAAAGGAAAATGAATGTGCGTATTTTTATTTTTACGATACATAACAACAGTTCTTTTTTTTTTTCTTCTCTCTATTCATCGGATTTTCTTTCGCGTAACGTTCAAATTACAGTCTCGCAATAATACTATAATTCCGTAGACGCTAGTCGTAATTAGTTAGCGAAGGAAATCAGGAAGGCGACGATTTATCTTTGCTCTCGTAAGGAAATTAATGATTTTTTCTCTCTCTCTGTCTCATTCGTACGTCAAATGTCAGTCACACCGCTACATCACTCGTTTCGTATTCGTTCCTCGTATAGTTTATGTAAGTTCGTCCGATCCGCGTCCAGACCAATTTTTCCGTGTAAATTCTCGATTTTTTTTTTTTTTTTTTTATCGAGAATTTACGTCAAATGAGAAATTCATCGCTTCACTTCGGCCCACGTGATAAATACATATTACATGTAATATGCACACACTGTACAGTTTTATCTATCGTATACGCATACACACGTATACGTCACTTCTTTTCTTCCATCAAATTATGCGTATTTATTCTCGGTGCAACCGAATAATTCCTTTTTCAATTTAAGAGCATTATACTCAGATTTATACCACAAATTTAACGATTGTATCGTGAGCCACTAGTCGAATAATTGTTGAGATATGAACAGTTGAATCTGTGTATAACATTAAGTATACAATAAGCTATCAACAAGACTGAGACACTTAAATTCGCGCTTAGAGTTTCACTTTTTCATATTTCGAGAGAGAAATGTAACGTTTGGTCGACGCTTGAACGTAATATAAATTCGATACATATGTGTGTGTATATATATATATATATATACATGTATACATATATATATCGCCCGTGTATCATTTAATCACAAGTTCAGTGACAAATTTCGTATTTCGATTCGAGGCGAAGAGGTAAGATTCGTTTGTCTTTTCCATACGATGCGATATTTACCCGTCACACAAGTTATTTGTATCGCTGTATATCTTTTCGATCGAATTCACGTTTTTTCTCGTTTTTGGAGAATTATTCTTTATAAATTTACTTGGCAAATACTTTTTTATTCACCGTAACTGAAAACAGAGAAAGAAGGAAGAGAATACTTCTTTGTTACATACATATGAATAAAATAATCATACACAAATATATATAATTTTAAACCTCTTGATATATATATATATGTTACTTATGTTTATATTACGTTCCTTGTGTTAACAATTTAAAAGGAAAATGAATGTGCGTATTTTTATTTTTACGATACATAACAACAGTTCTTTTTTTTTTTTCTTCTCTCTATTCATCGGATTTTCTTTCGCGTAACGTTCAAATTACAGTCTCGCAATAATACTATAATTCCGTAGACGCTAGTCGTAATTAGTTAGCGAAGGAAATCAGGAAGGCGACGATTTATCTTTGCTCTCGTAAGGAAATTAATGATTTTTTCTCTCTCTCTGTCTCATTCGTACGTCAAATGTCAGTCACACCGCTACATCACTCGTTTCGTATTCGTTCCTCGTATAGTTTATGTAAGTTCGTCCGATCCGCGTCCAGACCAATTTTTCCGTGTAAATTCTCGTTTATTTTTTTTTTTATTTTTTTGAATATCGCGAAGCTTTTGCACAAGTTCAGAGATATTTTTGGATTGCTGGAATATTTTTAATTTGCTTAATAAATATCGATCTAATTAGTAGGAGTCGAGCGTGTTGGAATTTTTTTGTTAATTTGTCTTTTACGTAGATCGCGTATTGTGCATGCATTGTAATGTTGTATCGACACGTGTTGCGTGACACGTGTAATTTCGAAAATTTATTTACGAATTTTGAAATTCTTTTTTTTTTTTTATTACATATCACTCTGGCTTTATTGTTTGCAACGATGAGTGGAAAAACATTTATTTACGAATTTTGAAATTTTTTTTTTTTTTTACGTTGTCACTTTAGCTTTATTGTTTGCAATGATGCAAAAAAAAAAAAATCAGAAAATTTTTATTTTTTAGCACTTTACAGATAGATATTTTTTTTAATTTTGCCATAGAAATCGTTATTTTTTAAATTATCATTGTCCAAAATCAAAAATTATTGTTGCATTCCATGTTTCGATTTTTTAAATATTTTTTTCTTTTTTTTACGTTTGGAAAAAAAATATACAAATGAAGTAATATCATTCCTTCCTTCTTTTTTTTTTTTTTTCTTTTTAAATAGAAAAATACATCAATTCTGAATTTTCGAAAATATCCAACTCGTGTACATATAATACAATAATAATACATAATTCTTTCCTTTCTTTATGCGATGTAGTTATTTTTGGAATCAAACGATAAAAGCGTACACATATTATATTTACATTTGGTCATAACACGCGATTGAAGAAAAAAAAAAAAAGAGAGAGAGAAAGAAATTTGGATTTATTCGAATTTCCAAGTAAATTAGAAGTCTCTCCGTAATCTCTTCAATTTATTTCAACTCTTCTTCGCGCTCGCGTAATAAATAATATCGCGTAATATGTACGGTTAATTTTTTTTTTTTTTCTCTCATTCACAAGCTAAACACAATCTAATTATCGTGAATGTATTGTTATGTTGTATACTCGATCGTTACGTTTAATTAAGTGAATTTGTTCGATTAAGTGGATCTGGAAAAGGAGTTGCGAATTCGATAGAAATCACGTGTCATTCCGGGAATTTTATCTGCCGTGTGTCATTAGTATCTATTTATCGTGAAAAAGCACATTAATTAAAATTGCTGAATAATTGCCAAGCCTGTTGCTAAAGCTACGAGATGTGTGTGTACGTAACGATTGGACAGATAAATAAATTTTCAAATTTCGCGAGGAAAAAAAAGAAAAAGAAAAAAAACGATCCGAAGATGTTTAGATTTAGATTTAGTAAATAGTGGATACTATTTACGCGCGAAATGAAAATTTACGAGTCATTCGGGGTTCGATGCATCTTAAAATTTTTATTACCTTCTTCGATTCGAAAAGATTTTTAATGGCCCCTCGCTTATTTATAACGCTGAAAACGCATTACGAATACAATAGTTGCCGATAAGTGTATTATCCATTATTCACCACCACTTCATTAACTCGAACTAATAAAAACTACTATTCAATTTGTTGAAATTTTCTTTGTACACTTTTATGTACATGATCGATTTCAAAGAGGCGATAAACCACTTTTTAAAAGTCCAAGAATAGCGATAATTAATTAACGAAGAATCTCTCCCCTCTCCCTCCCACCACCATCACCTTCCCTCCCCTTTGCGTCGAATATACTTGTGGAGCAAAGATTGGATGTCCTTCCAAAAAAAAAAAAAAGAAAATATTTCTTCTTCATTTTTTTTCCTTGCCAAATGGCTTGGCTACGTTCCATTTAATACGTATCGAATAATTAAGAAAAATATACGTACATTATGTGCAATTATGCACACGCGGCAATTAAAAGGAAAAGAGACAAGGAAGCGAAAGAAATGAATAATCTAACAGGAAATTTTCGTTGCGTTATGTTAATATTCATACTTACCGATCTTGATAATTCCCATGATGTATATTTTAATGACACAGCTCGTGGCAAGGTCATCGTTCGTACACATATCGCGTTAGAATTTCGAAAAGTAACCTCTAATACGGCTTTTCTTATCGTTTCTTTCTTTTTTTTTTTTTTTTGTTCGGGCAATTATATCATGCGCACGACATAGATCAAGAAAACGGGGACTTCCATTTCGTGCATGCATTACTTATGCACGTTCGAACGGCACCGAAATCGAACGATTGAGAAACCATTCCGGAGAAAGATATGTCCGTTTGACGTGTTACTCTCCTTTAAAATCATTTGCACATAGGGAACATGGCCAGTATTTCACCGGCTTGTCTCACAATCGATACTTCACTATTATTAATTGCTTGTCACCGAGCTATTACGATAGGTATCCATTTAAACAGTGCAAACGTAAGTTCTATTTCAACTGTAGAAGAAAAATTGCGGGAGACAATAGCAATTACAAGTGGTATAAATACAACAGAATCCTATCCCCGCGTTTAGTTGTTTCCGTTCGACGATCTTTTTTCTTTCTTTCTTTCTTTCTTTCTTTCTTTCTTTCTTTTTTTCCTTCTTTCTTTCTTTGTTCCTCGTGGAAACGGATCGGATAAAAATTATGTATGTAAATTAAAAACTCGCTTTAACGACAAATAAATAGATAAATTTCTATTTTTTTTTTTTTTATCGCGATGATAATAAAATAATCATCGCAGAGATAAAACGGATCGGTTTATCGCGCCTTTTTCCAGATCTTTACCGAATGATTTAAATTTTTAAATTCAATCTTTGTGCTTATCTGCACAAATCGATATTATTTCAAAATATTTACAAAAGACCAAGTGGAACAAGTGTAATTTATTCAAAAAGTGATCAAAAGGATCAGTGATTGAACGTAATCGAGATTTCATTGTTGGTGTTAAAAAAAGTTACCAGTGCTTAATGTACTTACAATTAATCTCTATTAAATTTTGTAAAATTAAGAATCGAATGTCTCGTATATATATATATATATATCTCGTTTGATATTTCGTTAGAGAGAAAGAAAAAAAAAAAAATTAATAAACGTAGAGAAATAATAATGGACGAATCGTGGTGGAAAGAAAAGATAAAAATATTCCTTGAAAATTTAGGAAATTTCATGTTGTCACTAAATATTGGTTAAATGGGTCGTTTACTTTATTACCCCGTACCTAACGGTAAATTTCTGATGCGGAAAACATTTCATGGAAATTTTCTCACCATCGTTATAGGTTTTACATATAAAATAGATACTAGTTTTTTTTTTTTCATTTAATCGTTATCTTATATTCCTCAAAGCGTATAATAGTGTACACTTGAAAATTAACATTTATACGTAACTGTTCGTACAAAGTTATATTTCATTCTACGTATCAATTAATGCTTTACACGTGCAACTATTTACCATTTAATTTATAAGCTTGCCTTTTTCTTTTTTTTTTTCTTTTTTTTTTTATCAACAAACGATAAAATGAATCTATAAAATTGTCATAGAAGATGATTATCGATTTAATTTAAAATCGTGATAAACGGCTCGGATAAAAGATTTAGAGGATATTTGTGTGTTCTTCTATCTTGCTTGCGCTTCGAGAAAATTAATCTTTTGATAAATGGAATAAATTTCATTTCGAAATTTTTTCTTGATTTCAGGTTGAATGGGAACAATGATGGCTTCGTGTATCGTTCTTAAAAAATTCTCATCGATGAGTGTAATCGCGATTTTGGCGATGGTGGTTGGCGTCCAAGCGGAACTTAAACAAATAAATGTGGTGAGTAATCAACAACGAATTTATTTACATTTAAAATTTTTCGATCGCAAGATACTCGTTTCGAGCTTCGTCGAATTGAATTTTTTAAAATCTAGAAAAAAATAAGTGACACTGTCGTTTGTTTGGAATTGGAAAGAAAAAAATAAAAACTGTAATTCAATTTTACATGTACAATTGTACAATTTCACAGATATTCCGGCACGGCGATAGGATACCCGATGAGAAAAACGAAATGTATCCGAAAGATCCTTACTTGTATTATGATTTTTATCCACTGCAGCGTGGCGAACTGACTAACGTAAGTACTTTGTTTCCCTCAAATTAAGCTTAAGCTCGATGTAAAAAAAAATGTATTTCTTGATATTAAAATTTAAGAATTCAATTTTGATCCTCGATTAAACTCGATTTATCTGTTTACAATTTGTCTAAATATGAAAATTTAATAGTTGAAGTTACGAATAAAATTAGTTCGATAAGTTATTTCAATAATTTATATTGTTATAATAATATTGTTAATATAATATTATTATAATATTTATATTATTAATGTAAAACAATAATAAAATAATTGTAACGACAAACGGTCGAGGTTATACGAAAAACGGATCAATTATATTCGAGCAATTACTTGAAGTGACTTTATTCGAGATTTTTAACTTACTTTTTCAACTGGATTAATGTCCAACACTGTTATTTTAGTCAGGTAAAATGCGAGAATATCAATTGGGACAATTCTTGAGAGAGAGATATGGTGATTTTTTGGGAGACATTTACACGGAAGAGTCTGTCTCGGCTCTCAGTTCGTTCTACGATAGGACGAAAATATCTCTTCAACTCGTACTAGCAGCGCTCTACCCGCCAAATAAATTGCAACAATGGAACGAAGATCTGAACTGGCAACCGATCGCCACGAAATATTTGCGCCGCTACGAGGACAATATCTTTTTGCCAGAGGATTGTTTGTTGTAAGTTGAAGTATAAAAATGTTTTGAAAAAATTTTCCCCTTAACTTCCTTGATTTCAATCGTAATTCTCTCGTTTTCGCAGATTTACGATCGAATTTGAGAGAGTGTTGGAATCGCCGCGTGGGAAGTACGAATTCTCGAAATATGACAAATTGAAGAAAAAATTGGAAGAGTGGACCGGAAAAAATATCACTACGCCATGGGATTATTATTACATCTATCATACACTGATGGCCGAACAATCTTACGGTCTTACTCTGCCATCTTGGACAAATAATATATTCCCGAGAGGAGAATTATTCGATGCGACGGTATTTGCATACAACATAACCAATTCGACTCCTTTGTTGAAAAAACTTTATGGAGGTAATTTGATGATCTTTTTCCTTACTAAGTTTTAATCTTTTTTCTTTATTTTTTTTTTTCTTGTTTTAAGTTTCAATTGTTAGTTTTTTTTTTTTTTACTTACGATACGAATTTCACAACTAATGTTATAATTTCATTATTACTGTTATTCCACGGATTCATTGATTTTGCACAATCAATCTTTCAATCTCATATTCCTGTTTCTTTAAAAAAGAAAAATTTCAATTCTAATATAAAATATCATATCACTTTATCGTGTTGTCGCATTTTAGGTCCGCTTCTTCGAATATTCACCAAGCATATGTTAGACGTGGTATCGGGTACGCAAAAGAAAAAGCGAAAGATATACTTGTTCAGTGGACATGAAAGTAATATCGCTGCTGTCTTACACGCTCTTGAACTTTATTATCCTCACGTTCCCGAATATTCTAGTTCTATTATAGTGGAACTTCACAATATCGAAGGCACTCACTACGTAAAGGTACGTGATGAATCGTGCATAAACCGATATCTATATTTTTTAAATATAGAGAACAATACTTTTAAAGGCATATCTTATAAATTAACCTACAATCTCGATAGTGGCCAATTTATGATATTGTTATGGACATTGATCCTAAGCCATATGCTAAAAATATATCATCTCAATTATTATCAATAAGTTAATTACGATGCTGAATAACGAAATATATCGAGATATTGAAAACTGTTCGATATAATTTGAGGATTATACCTCGAAGCAAATTAATCATATTTATGAATTATTTCATTTATTCGAGCTTCTTTAATTCTTGTTTCTCCTGCATTTTTAATTAACGATTAATATCATTGCAGATCGTTTACTACTTGGGTATCCCGTGTGAAGCGAAAGAACTTCGATTACCCGGCTGCGAAGTACTTTGCCCTTTGTACAAGTATTTACAATTGATAGAGAACGTGATACCATCGAACGAAGAGATGATTTGCGATAAAAGATTCACCGACACGTTGGCAAACAATTTGTCGATCGAAGAATTAGATTTCGTGAAGTTGAATTTAATAAGGATAGCGGGTAGTGAGAATAAATAATTATTATGGGGGAATTAATTAATTTATCAATCACGAAGAAAATGAAATATGTGTTTAAAGTATTTACTTTACATGAATGAATGAATTTGAAATAGTTAAATGAATTTATCATCTAATTGATATTAATTATTTATTAATTATTTATCGATAATCCGATACGAGAAAAAAAAAATACAAAGAATGTGATTCATATCTCTTTAACTATGTTCAAAGGTCATCCTATAAGTAATGCATGCTACCTTTTCATTTATATCCACTAACAGTATTATTCGGCTAATTTTTTACTTTTTTTTTTTTTTTTTTTTTTTTAGTTAAAAACAGTATTATTGTTAAAATTCAATTCAAACTTTTTATTTTAGTATTAAAACTACTATTTAACTTTTAAAATATTTAACATTATATTAACCAAGAAATGCAAATGAGCATTTTATCATAATTATCATTGTATTCAGATTGTAAAAAGTGCAGTCGTTTACTGCTTATTTCACAAATGTTTTCGATCATGTTTATCACGCAAAACGCAAAAAAAAAAAAGTTTATACGTGTAAATTTATTTAAAGCGATACAGGGAATACTTGATTCTCTAATTTTACGTTGGTTATAAAAATATATTGCAAAATTTGTGCATATACGTACATTTTACACACACACATATATATATATATATATAACGACATTACTTGTAAGATGACATAATGCATAAAAATTTTTGCATATGAACATGTACTGAATATGCATGAATGAATATTGACACGAATCAAATAGTTAATTATTTTTTATATAACTTAATTATTTATATTATATCCCAAATATTAATTATTGGTCAACATTCGAAACATTCAAATTTATTTAAATGTGTAACGATATTTATATCATTATGTGTAATTATTATTATATTTTTTTTTTAACGCAATCTTTTCAATCCAAATAGTACTTAATGCACCTCTGATTTAATGAATTATTTATTTCTAATCAAAGTACAGTTACAATAAAAAAAAAAATAATGTTACGGTACTTGAATATATATTTATTAAACATATATTGTATATCAGCCAATTTTATATTGTTATTATTTATATATTATTATTATTATATAATAATCGTTTTCCATCATTCCAATCAATATATATATATATATATATATTACTTTGTATGCTCAATGTTTGATTTCGTTTTAAGAATTTAATAATCTTAAATATATATAATTGTATACAATGCGTGAAATATTTCTATATATTATATACATGTGTATATATAGACGAAATCAAATATTTAAAAGAGATAAAAGATAATAAATAAAATTGATTCACAAAAGAAAAAATATTATATTAATTTCCTATTTATTTCCCTCGAAATAATTCAATTTAAAATAAGCTGTAGAGTCATAACGTTCTTTATAATAATCTTCTCTTAACTGAAACATTATTGACAATGATTATTCCCTACCGTGGTGCAAATCTCTTTCGCAACGTTCAGCCTCACGTGATGTTTTTTGCTACTTAAAAAGAATAAAAATTGCGTCTTGCGATCACATTTAAAGAATCGTGGTTTTTACATAAATCAGTCACTTTTCCAACGAATTCGAAGCCCCGACTTTATCCTCGGATCCGTTCATTTTCTGAACATTAATTTCGAAACGATTTTAAAATAACGCGATATTTGTGTACAAGGTGAAACGTCTTCTCAACAAATTATCATCAACATGTCGTATGATTCAGTTTGCAATTTTTTTCTTTTTCCTTTTTTTTTTTTTTTACGCAGTACTTGTCGTTATTGTTCCATTGTATGCAATATGCAGATAAGAGCACAATAATTCACAAAATACATGAGATGATATTACACGAGACGATGCGCTTGCTAATTTCAACGAAACGAAACACGTTTTCAGTAAATTTAATTTATATGACAATTAGTAATCACGATAAATTAAAATACTTCGATCGTGAATCAAAATTAAATTTTTATCAAATTATTAGGAAAATTATAAGAATTATTATATTAATATATCTTTCAATTTAAATAAAAATCAAATAATTCAAGAAGTGATTCAAAACTAGATAATTGATTAATTATCATGTCTGTGTAATAGAATCTTGAAGTATTATATAGCTTATAAGGAATTACTCCCGTTTCTTTTTTTTGGAAAAAAAAAATTGGAAAAATAATACGTAATAATACGTGATAAAGTTACGCGAAATTCGGTAGCGTCATAAATTTAAGAAATTTTAATTTCCTTGATTGTTAATAATCAAGTCGGAAAAAGAGGTACGTATATGACGCGTAGGAATTCCCTTCTACGTTAATTTTTCTTCCAGTGTCAACTTACCAACTTTCGAGATGATCTCCAGTTTTAATCTAGACTAATGTTCATACGTATTATTTTTTCCAATCGTATCTGTAATTCGGTAACTTATATTAATTTACATTGAACATATAAATTACTTGTGTCTTTTTTATAACCGATTTTTGTTTTCTTAAGTGTTGAAAAAAAAAAAGTATAAAACAACGAATTACATACACGGATTTAATCATTTAAAATAATTCTTCCATGTAAGTAGACATCACGTTTTATAATCATCCTCTTGAAAAAAGTAATATCTTACCATTGGCTTATCCTTTCATTATATATACACTTATTATTCGTCATTTTGACATAAAATGCGAAATCGACGTCGAGTATGCACATTAACCGAAAAATTTGCGTATATATAGTATTACGTTTGACACAAAACGATACGATTCAACTTTCACCACCGAGTATATCGATGAAATTGTTCGATTTCTTTTTAAAATAATTTTGTATGATTATCAAAATGATTATATGACAATTTTTATATGTTTCTAACAATAAACAATAGCGAATATGACTATGCACATATTAGAATTAATTCGATTTGCACGGATAGCTATATAGGCCAATAATACAAGCGAATCATCTCCACTTTAACATTAATATATATATATATATATATATATATATATATATATATATATATATATATAC